TTTTCAGGTGAATGTTTATGTTAACGATTGGAAAGGTGATGTTTAGTAGAGGCGTTAACAAAACCTAAAACCTAACAATAGCAAAATGCAGATACTCTTGGACTGTTCAGAGTGTTATATGCTGTAACCTACTAACATCATTTCAGGACTGCCACTTTGCCTGGTGGCATAAGGTCACAATCCTATATAGTAGACAAATATTGGGCACCAGCGGCTGTTTTCTATCTCCTTCAACGATTATCTCATGTTCGTTGTTGATTTAGAAGCTGTACTCTGTAGGGAAATTGTTCTTGCTGCATGGAACGTTTGCCTGTACATAGAACCTTTTAAATTCGTATATAATTCGTTAACACGTAGTAACGCCGCGCGCCACAACACGTATCTCTGTTATTTTTGCTGAATCGTCGACTTTTGCACGGCCCAAGCCTATTTAGGCATCAGCAGGCTTTGCGAAGCCCTTTTCAACTGAAAATCGAACGAGCCAGAAATATTGGGCAGTACTTCAAAACAACAATGGCTGTACGCACGCCTTCCTTTTTTTTGCATTTAGTTATATCTGGTGAGTAGGGTAACGCAAACAGAGGCCACCGCCATCAATGCCACATTAGCTCTAAGTGGACGAAACAAGAAAACATCCACATTTATAGTTCTCCTGTATCCTTTCTCAACTCCTTGCGTCGTAAAATCGAAAGAGAGATGGTTAGGCACTGAACGTTTAGAGTTACGTCGCCGTTAGTATTCTATCAGAGGGCTGGCACCTAGCACAAAACGAAGTGTGTCTATGCCCAGATTCGCACCTAGATCACTACGTGTGCTTAAGATTAACTGTCAAATGCGTTACCTACCAAGCTGTTACGGGGTCACTGCAACGAGAAAAACAAGCTTGCGAGGTCTCGTTAGTTGCGGTAGAGGGTACGATAACAAAGTCAGCCTACTCGTGAAGACATGATGGTTGAACTCTATATAATAATGTGTGAGCAGATACGTTGACTGCTCCCTGAGAACATTCACTTCGATATGTTATATATATATATATGTGTGTGTTTCTGAACCTGGGGAGTGAGCTGTCAACGAGGCTTTATACATGCTTATAGAACAGAACAGCTATTTCGTTGTATGTAACAACAATCGCTTCGTTGGGAAACTATACACGAATAACAAATGCTACAAGTGCGAACGAAAAAGTTAGAGAGGGGACGATGACAACAGAAAACCCTGGTAAAACGGACGGTCGGTCGGTCGGTCGGTAGGTAGGTAGAAGTTACATGTACTCATGAGTGTCCTGTAAGCAACAACTGAAACCAGCGGCTAATGGCTAAACTACAATATTAAATATAACTTTTTGAGATAGCTACTTTGAGCCTTATGCGGGACACGGCTGTTTCCCATTCCAACTAAATGATATGAGAATAAACATTTATGCAGCGGCCGAGCGATAATTTCTCAGCCATGTCAGAACTCGCACGAATCCTAAAAAATCATCTAGCTATTCTAATGGTTCGTCTCTAAAGGTAACTAGAAATAACAGAACTACCGTGTTGAATAATATGCTGCATCATGTTGAAATACTTCGTTGGTGTGCATATACAGCGATCTTACGTGTATATATGTATTATATGAAACTTAACGTGTTTCTATATGTATAGTGTTGTTTTCTCTACACTATAAATTTATTCTGTTAATACCACTATCTTTAGGCGCTAATACGAATACACTAGTATGTCAGGTGAGTCCTATTTTGACGTTTTAGTACGTGAAATTAACCAGAGCACGCACCCCCTGAGTATTCAATGTGTCACAAATATGACTACGAGAAGAATTATTTCTTGCCAGCTAAGTGTGTGTAATAAAAGCCTACGAAATTCCCAATTCGAAAGAATAACCCACAGTTATTCGTTTGCTTTATATAGTTCAAGCATACATTGTGCGCATATCGTGCCAAGATAAGGCTTAGAAGCATATATATATTTAATCTAACAAACACTATTGCTCAAGAATTTTCGACTTTATTCGAACAATTTATGCTGTATGTAAACTGTGGCTGGTACGTTCGGTGTGCATCTAGAGACCTCGCAGTACCCCCTGATCGACCCGGTGAACAGGCTTTATGCGGAACAAGCGGTTGCCGATGCAGACGCAACTCGAACTTATCCAGCGTCGAAGACGACAGCGCAGCTCAGCAGCGGGGTCATCCCCCGTAATCTCCCTAGAGAGAGGAAGCGTTGCTTCAGTTAAGAAGTCAGTTATAGTTCAGCTGAAGATTCACTGGCTCATTACATATACCCGATTGACTGAGCCACGTTCGACGCACTTCATAAGACTGATTTTCCATTAGTAATGGCATGGCTTAGATGCTCCGTGTAAGTAAACACTAGTTGCACAAGCCATGCGTTGTATATTATAAATATTACCTAATAATCTAGGATTTACCATATAGATCGTAACAGCACGGTAGGTACTGTGCTAACCCTGAGAGAAGGCTCACCTCTGAAACTCTGCAGAATAAGTTTTCCTTGTTCGGCGTCGCAAAGAACAAACCCTTTCAGTAACTTAATCCTTATTGCTTGGATTATTTATTTCACTATTATACTATATTAACTTGATCCTTAATAGCTCTCCATTACGACCTGGGGTAATGCAAACACAGGACTATAGTTAGACAAGCTTCCGTTAGTCTGTATGGAACAGGCGGGAACATAAATTCATTCATTTGCAGTTAGGAAAAAATGGCTTTTACTTAGGGAAAAGATCAGGCATCTGTCTAGCTCACTTATCAACAGACTATTTTTTCCAACTAAATTCATACGATATACAACTGTAAACTACTGCGCAGACCTTCTTCAACCATCCATGCACACGGAATTCGATTTTTATAGTAAGAAACGTAATAAAAATGAGCGATATTGTCGTTTTTTTTTTACTATTATTTTTTAAAACCGAAATTTTAGAGATCATAGAGTAACCGATTAAATCACATACCACTCGAAGCTGTCTCGCCTATACGCTAGCAGATTAAAACATGGATATTGCGTTGGCCATATACCGATCACAAAGATTATTCGAAATTTAAAAACAATAAACACTTCAATAATGCAACGGTGTCTTTTCTGGGTCTTGTAATAGAACCTTTTTCTTCAATTCTATTTTGAGAGATGTAACGATATATAATTTCAGTAAATCAAAACGCTTATGCAAATAAGCAAAATACAAATTAACCTGATCAAAAATATACTTATTTATCATCCATCTTACAAGTTAGCAGCATATTTCTGCTGATCGTTTGGTCTCATATTTCAAGTAAGTTGAGTCCTTCTCCAGCTGTTGAATTTTATGGTTGTTTGTTTTTCTTTCAACTTTCAAGGCGGTAAGATTAAACCGATTTTAGTTGATATCAACCTTATCGCAGCCTAGGCCAACCTAAGCTGCATACAATTCCAGTGGACAACAATAGTTCTTGTATTTACCGTTTAGCAGTTCCCTGTAACGTTGTGTATTCTTACGCAAAACTTTTCTTTCTGTTTTTCATCGTCCTTGTACCTTTCGTTATGATAACGATGATAACATCCGTAGCAAGTTAACATTCCCTCAAATAGAGGCTGAGATTTAAAGTTTATATTTGAAATTGATTCATATTAAACCCAAGTGTGGTAATAGTGCGAGTAGTATTGGCCCAGTGGCTCCAAATAGCTAGTTAGGTTATGATTACGGTATTATAATAATGGCCGACTGACAACCAATTACCCTAGCTTGTCCGTCACAATTCCTGCTTTTAGAATTGTGAAAATAATTAAAACCGTCGATTATCGCATAGAAATACATGGCTGATACTATTTCTGAAACGTTTGTTGCTGTACAGCTTGTAAATTTTCTTCAAACTAACAGAGAGCTGATCAGTATGATTTTTTTCGATTTAGCAGAGCATCCGACGCCGTATCTCCGTAGTTCTTAGCTAGGACTGTTGTTAATCTTCGTTATAATCCTATATGTTTTGACCTATTTGACATGGCATGAAACCTTATTGCGTTCCTTTGAATACCTAAATAAAGCTATATAACAAATATAATTCAGTGAATAGCTTGAAGTGGACGTAGTGGACTATTTGTTTTTGATTGGGGGGGGCGAAAAGGACGCTTGGAGGCTCAGTCTGAGTATATGGGTTAAGGGCCAGCTGCAAGAAACATTACGAAATCTCAAAAGAAGATAAGCGTACAATTGAGAAATTCTCTCAATGTTTTAATATTGTTAAGTGTTAAGGAGCTATAGACGCTGCATTACATAGTTGTATGACAAAGTTGTGCTGACAGAATTAAGGTCCATTAGTTCCTGTAGGTATAAATGAGATGCTATACTGCTAAGTACACAGTTTGCTATTGAATCATACGTTTTTGTACGAGTATCTTATAAGGGAAAAAAAACATTATTCTATACGATGTATGTGATTTACTAACCCTAAATAGGGCTCCTAGATCGCGGATCCTGATCTAGTTTTGTGGCTTTAGGGGGTCACTCGTCTCCAACAAACTGTAACAAGGAGTGGGGTGGCCACATTCACATGCCAAATGATTTGGTGTGATTACCGCTATATTGGACTAGAAAATATAGTCATGTTAAGTGCTAAACTAAAATGTTATTTCCACCCTAGTGAGTCGTGTATGATCGTTCCGGTAGTGTTTTTTGTACGTTTTTACATGGGCACGTTTTTTTGCACGTTCTCTTTACGAAACCTCACTTACTTATTTTTGTGGATTATTTGAGCGAATCCCAATGCGTCGTTAGGGTTTGGCGGGTTGGTATTCTCCAACGACTTGCCATTGCTGTCAGTAGCCTCTCACAGACCTTACTATCTATCAAAGATTTCGCGCTATAGTTGAAATAATAATCTTTATTTAACGACAAAATGAAAAATGTCCAGGATGACCGTTCGGGACAACAAAGCGCACTCGTTGAATTAGAGAGGGGAATAGACGAGTCGAAAAAGGTGCTGCTTACCTTGTTGAGTACAAAGGCGTTTTTCAGTCAACAAACGTTGTCATAATGTTTTATAATTGTACAGTTCACGCGGAGTCGTATCGATAGACATGATTAGCGCTTCGCTATGAGAAGTACTAGTCAGGATCTCTTTTTTCGCTGTTGCGTATATTGTGGGCCGGGACATTGTTACCACCATGAAAGTAAACGGGAGGTCATTGTTTCTTATTCTTCTTCGGGAGATGTGTTAGCAACTGAAAATGTCGGTATATTTGTTTACGTTGCATGTTTATCTCACGTTTTAATAGCCCAGTTTAACTGAACGAAGCTATACTCCGGCAAGATACTAGAGTGCTGCACATAATGAGAGACCGTGTATTCAGCGAGTATTTGGTTAGCAGTGTACGCTAGCTGGTCTACCTGGATGTGGCTCCCTAACAAAACCGAGATTCTGCAAGCTAGAAAAGGTCACTTACAAATTCGACCCAAGTCCCCAACGAAAGCACGTACTGAAACAATCCAAGCAATGCTTGAGTTAATTTTTGTAATTTTTTTTTCTGGGCTAATTGAGAAAATCATTGTTCACCTCCGATTCGTCGAGGTTGGTCAATTTGCAACTGAACGACAGGTAATTCGAATGGCTTCCGCAACGGGGGAGCCATTGGTACAAGCCTGACGATAGCGCTGTAAACTTTTATGCGAAATCACATATCCTGGTATATTAACAATTATCTAATCCTAGTAGTTCGTCTGTTTTAACGTTCGTGCGATGAGCCACTGGCGAAAACGAGGAAAATAACTCAGCGCGTGGACTTCCTGTCGGACCCGGTTACGGCAGGCCGCTCAGTAATGGCGAATAGCTCTACTACTTTTAGGCTGGGGCCTTTTTTTATAAGTAAATACTAACAATAATAATAATAATAAAAAAAGTCGTGGAGATTCGGTTGTCTTTGAAACGTTGGCAGTCGCCATTTGTTCCATTAGAAACCTAGGAATTCTACTTGGAGTCGCATTTTACGAAAAACAACCTATGATATTTACCAAACACCATACATTTTTGTACCGATAAAGGTTGCAACTGCTTTCGTTCCAACGTCTTATAATTGTAGATTAACTTTTGACAGTTGCTGGTACTTTTCGATAGCCATCCTTGCCAGATAACGTGTTTGATTTCGTTGTTAAACTATATTAAATATAAATACTAAGTTGGGAGGAAGCGTTTTCAGTGTATGATACCCTATCATATTAATATTCTACCCGGATATAGTTTAGGGAATTTCACTTGCGTTTTTGTGCCTGATACCAAGGGTATCTGTCCTAGAAGTTGAACCGGACCACCCAGTGAGGTAGTAGCGCGTGTCCGCACTTAGTTTGAAACGTGCCCTTGGATTTTTATGGCTCTTATTGACTAGAACAAGCAATTAATTAGTTAGGAAACTGTCGTTATTAAGTGGGTTTAAAGAACATTGAGTGTTGTGCGAAGCAACCATTATGATGACCACCGAACAGTGATAAAGGACTGTAGCGTCCGTTAATAACTACGGCTGAATTCAAAGAAAACTTGCTTTATCCGTTTAATTGCGAAATTGTTTAGTTAAGACGGGCAGGTTTTAAAAAGGTAATCAAATTGAAGTAACACGACCAATATTTTATATATATATATATATATATATATATATGAAGGTTTTTCTGAGATGGATTCACATCACAGTACTTCATTATTCACATTGGAAAAACAAATTTTCCTTCTGGAAAGATTTCCTAGCCTGAACATAAACACTTAGAAGGTCCTCCTATCAGCAGGCTGTTGTGTCTTTTCGAAAGCAAAATGATGAACGGCTGCAATTCTAAAGGGCGCCATTTCTGTTCTGATTTTCTCTTCACGCTACATTGATGCTATTTAAATGTATATCTTATGCGTTAGGTGTGCTAATTGTATATATGCGTATAATAATGGTTTTCGTCAACAGGAAGCGAAGGTCTACGCCCAGAATTAATCCTAGACCACCAACGCGCAATCGCAGCGAAAGCTTCTCCCTACACCTCACTTTCGGACCGTCCCAGATTCCTCTATTACGGTTTTACCGAATATATTTTCAGTAAAACGCATTCATTGAGCCGGCGGTGAAGTCGCGAAATATACCGATACGGTGGACTGTTAGTCCTACTATGGCTAGATCGTTAGTGAACAAAGGTAGTAATGTGCAATCGTTCGAGGGCAAAAATTCTTGATTTAAAGTATTCACCCCTTTAGGGGCATCCTACTCATTATTATTATTATTATTATTATTAGACAATTCTCATGAGAAGTCATCCATGTCGGGCCTATAAAGGTATGCCTCGGATTTTAAATTGTGCAGTTTTCGTTCGTAGATCGTAATTGCGTCTCACATAATGTTTGATACACCAAAAATATAGCATCACTATCTAACATGTATTTACTGCAAATGAGACAAGTACTTTTGCCTCTATTAGGTCTACAAATGTCCAGTATGGTTCAGTGGCCTAACGATGTTTTGCTCACGTAAAAAAATTGATCGTTTGTCTACGTCTTGCGACAACATGTACTACGCGACGAAATTAACCACTCGTCAGTCAAAATAGAACATTTATCATTATAGGTTAACTAGACAGTAAGCCTGTTGATGCTACTTTTTTTGTTTTCCATTTATTGCGGCCAGCGTTTTACTCATCTTTTACTTCCTACACCGTTTTCCATGATAAAACTTTTTGCAGTTCAGGTTTTCTGTGTTTTTTGTAATAAATGGGTCGAGAACCTAATGGTTTGGTTGTCAACGACAAATAACGTATCAAACCATCGGGACCACGCACTAAGTGGATCCTAGATGTAGAAGAAAAGGTATAGTAGAAAGGAGGGCAACTATTGGAAGGAGTCTCTACTGCCTCGGGCATTCCTTCGCCTTACAACTGGCGCTGCCGCTAGCGAAGGTCTGTTCAGTAGTATAGACGTGTGGTAACACTAATAGCAGTCCAAAGGATCTTACCCGTTCATGTTAACCGAAAAATTGTTGAGGCCTATACAGTCCGCCATTTCGCGTCTTGGATCTTCCTGTTGGTTCTTTCCATTGTGTGTTCCTTTTGCCGTATTTACTACTTCCCTCTTACCCCCTTATCCCCCTTGACTAACCCTCCGGCTTGGTCACAGCAGTAGAGACTCAGCTTCGATAAGCAACGAATTGTCATAATTTTTGTCCTTCTGTGCCACGATCGTAACGTTCCGTGACGACATTCGTAACTGCTCGTCTTTTTTCCTTTGCTTACGTAAGCGGTCCCATCCAGTTATTTGTAGGTTTTTTTTTCTATTTAATGATCCAGTGTATATGTATTGTTATCATCATTGCTGTTCGAAGCCGAAATGTGTTCCAATGGACGCAGACTAGCCCCATTCTGTCCCAGCTTACTCGCGGTTTATTTTTTCCCGTTCAGTCTAATCTGCTGTAAAGGTGATTTAGGGCGTAAATTGGACGACTATACACCAAAAAAGGCGAGCAGCTGAAGTACTATTAACAGAAATCGTAGAAACCCCTTAGATTAGCTCAATTGACAAGGATCTTATCATTCTTGTCTTGAGCACTGCAATTTTACAAGAACAAAAAAGGAACAATGTTTCACAGAAGTACCTTAATATAGCATTTAATACGACATTCTAATACAAATGTTTTATGAAATGCACGTACAGATTCCGAAATGACCTGTATGATGTAAATAGTCAGGTGACGGCGTTAGAGGTCGATGAATTGCTGGTGCAGAAGACAGCACCGGCTTTAACAATCTTCTAAGATAAGTGCGCTTTTGATAGTTTAATTTTTTTAACGCAAGCACAAACAATGCTGTACCTTTGCGGGCGTCTTGTAAAAGCAACAGAAACTTCGTGAAATTTTGCACGTAGGTTTAAGATGGACCGCAACTTCCTCGGTGTGGAACAGAAGATCTTTTTATGAATGACGGACCTGTACTTCTACCGGGATCGTATGGAGGACATAGAAGGCTCGACGATCCAGTCTTATTCCTAATTTTGTCCGTCTATTTATCTTTCTGTTAGATAATTGACCAGCCCCTTCATACGCTTTCTTATACTATAGTCGTATGCGTTTCCATCTTTGTATGAAAGTTCGCTTACTACATCGCATCGCCTGGATGAACGTGCTGTGTCCATAACCTACATACTTTATCATGCACGCTAAAATATGATCTATCACATATAAAGATATATGGACGACACAAAATTCGGAAATTTTGCAATTTTTCTTCTTCATTTTTTTCACTTGTGCGGTTTGTTTTTAAATCAGGAGTCAGTAAAAAGCTGTTAGGTTACTTTCCGCCGTCTCTGTAGCGTACCCAATAGCTAAATTGCTCTTCCAAGGTATTTTTTCCTTTCTGTTATCATAGAAGTAGTGGGCTTTTTGTTTACATGTGTTTGTGCCGCGGCGGTGGCCATTTGTGGTGATGCTTATCGTCGGATTGTATTGCGAAGGTTCTGCGTGTGTGCCCATGTGTTCTCCCACCCATTCCTCCATTCCTGTTTCACCCCATCCCATACAGTAGCCTCTCATAGCTATACTCACAGTAAGTATGAGCTCATTGGCTATCGGCTTTGTAGCTACAATGTCCTAGTAGCTGGTGACGTCGCATAACTAGTGCGGTTTCAGTTTGGCCTGTCTTTGTCTTCTTCTCGCCTTGGCTGTATTCTCTGTGGGGTCCCGCTACAGCCGAAGCCAGCAGCAGCAGCAGTGTAAACAATACGAACCAAGAACATCCGCCGCAAATCCTGTTACGGCCAGCGAATGGGCCATGCCAGGGCAAAGCGATGCTTATAGTTTTAGAATAGTATCATCTTTATGTTTCGTAAACAAGAGAAGGCAAGCAGCCACATACAGGGCAAGCCAGAGGGAGCGGGAACGAAGGCAATCCGGAGGTTTTCCCGACAGCTGTACTCGTAACGGCACTAGCGACCGTAACAGGGAAAACGTCAACGTCTTCTTAAACGAAGAATAGCGACAATGACGAAATGCATTTTTAGCTGTGGCAAACTTTAAACACATACTGATGTAATTCTTGCACTTATCAAAATGGTGCTTTGATAATGAGGCTATTGTATTTCATATTATCATTGCTATATACGTAGCGCAAGTGGAACTACATCAGGTTGCCGATTATTTATGTGATGGTGGTCACTGGTCCAAATTCCGCCCTGGAGAACGTAACTTGGTCACAATGTAATTTAAAGGTAAAATAAACGACGAAGCGAAAGGGGCAGCTTCGTAAGAGCTCATTAATTAAGGATTCGAAAATGTGACCGATATGAATCTGAGCCAATCTTCGTCGTAATGAATTAAACAGCGCGTTTTAATAGTTAGTTAGCGTAAGTATACGTCGCAGACGTTCGTACGTACGAAGTAAATTTAAACGGAAGTGACCTTTTGCTGTTATAAGTACGCCGGTGAACTTCTTACACGATATCCTCTAACCTGTATTACGATACTTCTCTCATAGAATAAGGATTACTACTGCTGAGAGATGCGTCTCGACGACGAGAACGAGTCGGATTTGAACACTGATTAATTAATTAGGTGACAAACTGGAAAAGGTTAGGTACAGATATTACGAAATACACAAGCTCGTCGCGTCGTGAAAGATGACAATTAAACCTAAGTTTAATAAAACAAATTATATAAAGGTTAAAATCGTATATAACTCGTGCTACTCAAACGGTCATCTTGCTTATAGCAAGTTTCATCTTTCTCTTAAAAAAGGATATGGTCGACGTTGGAAAATAGCAGATCAGAGTTGTATGGCGGTCCTACGAACGCCCACACAGTCCACTCAAAGTAAGCTCGCACACATCGGGTCAATAATTAAAGCATACTATGGTGGGCTTTTCGTCATGTTAGACAGTCGTTTTGTACCGCTGAAAACGATTTCAACTAAGCTGATTTGAAATACAACCGAATATATTACTGAAATCATGAGTTGTTTTTTTCCCTTCAGTAGAAAGGGTCTATGAGAAGAAGAATTAAATCCATCAATTAAATTATTTATAAAGCGTAGAGAGTTAAGTGAAGCCGATAGTTAATTGACGTCCAGCTTTTATCGTAGTTATATCTAAG